CATTCAAAAACTCCAAGACGGATCGAAGCAAAGCTCGCGGCGGATGCGCCCAAACCGTGCGGCCGGTCAGGTCTGCCTCAAATGCTGTCCTTTCGGGTGAACGCCAAGAAGGTGCAATGGCATTCCGGCCGCCCCGGTCTGCGAACAGGTCCAGTGTGAACGAGCAGGCGCACCGTGCAACGATATCTGCCAGAACTGGCGTGCGAATCGCTGCCTCAAGAAAGGGATCAGAATTCCAACGCGAGGCGAACAGAGGATCCCTCGAGCCGAGGTCTGCTGTCCGATTGGCCGCGCCGCTCAAGTGGAGCGCCAGGGCCCAACAGGAAGCTGCCCGCTCTGCCCGTTCAAGTCGTTCTGCGAGCCGTTCGAGCCGTGGGATGGCGCCGTAACGGGCATCGATGTAATGTTCAGCCGCCTTGTTGTCCACCCTGAAAAGTATGCGCCAGCCACGGAATTCGTCAAGGTTGTCCTCCAGACACTGGCACGCGACCCACAACTCCCTGTAATTGATGTCGGCGGGCTCCGATAAAACTTCCAAATCAGAAAAGTTGTCGGGCCATGTGCCTGAGACAACCCGCGTGGAGTGGCAGAGGTGGTAGGACCAACCTTCGGACGTGGCGGCGTCTGTCTCCACGACGCGGATCTGGCCCGCTCTGGCGAGTGACTCCCGCTGTTCGTACTCTGGCGACTTGTGGCCCCGAGTTGACAGCGAGCCCCCTTGGTCATGCAACACCCGAGTTGGTGGCGATCTGAACGCTTCTACCGCCCACTCGATGTTTTTCCGGCTCAACTCAGAGAGGCGGGCGACTGGATTAGAATGAGGCGACCGGCTCCATAGTGCGTACACACCCGCCGAGTTTAGATCCGTCCAGATGGGATGAAGCCGGCGGCGCGCCTGCGGATAGAGCTCTGCAATATGAGATGCCAGGCCTACAGTGGAGGCCAAGTCTCTGGCGAGGAGAATTCTGCGGGAGTCCGCCTCCAAAACAGCGATGAGTTGCTGTCTGCAACGATCGCACATCTCTTGGGCCACTGTGACAACCCCGAGAACGGTATCGAATATCCACCCTATCCAGCTTTGACGGGTGTCTGGGGGCCTGATGCCAGTGGGCTTCGCGCTCACAGGGACGCCCGCTGTGAGGAAAAAATCCACCGTTCGATCAAGCGCTGTCCAGGCCGAAGGGCAACACCGCTCCAACCCGAGTAGATCGTCCACAAAATCGAGCAACTGCACGCCGCTCCTCTGTGCCAAGACGCGCAAGAGTTCTTTGATAGATCGGTCATTGAGCCCCGGGGCCGGCGACAGGCCGAAAGGCAGAAACCGGCATCGTCCGAACTGCCGCCTCTCGTGCGAGTAAAACCCGAGGAGGTAAGAATCAGCGTCGCACACCCGCCAATTAAAGAAGCAGTCTTGGATATCTTCGACGTACAGGAAATCGCCTCGGTGCATGCGGCTGATAGCCATGTCGACTGTTCCGTACGAAACCCCAACATGCGGTACACGTTCGTTGGCCCGGCCCACTCGCAAATCCAATATCAGCCGAGCCTTCCATCGATCCTGTTCTGGAGCCTCTGGGGTTGAACCTGCGCGCTCTTTCAACAGCAACCCGCAAGGGTTAACGTTGAGGGACGGCGGCCGTGGCGCCTCTGGAGGGACAAAGGACACCTTGCCCAATTCCTCGAGCCTGCTCCACTCGCGCTCGGCCCACGAGCTGTGGGTTCGCACTGAAGGGTGGTTGGGCGTGTATCGCGCTTCTGCACGCGAAGCTCCCAAGGGCACGCCTTGCTCCCAGAGCCGGATGAACTCGTCATGGGCCCCTGCGGCGGCCAGAAAATCCAGATCCAACGTGAGCCCAGGGACGCCAACTATACCACTGCATGCCGGCACTGCCCCTCTTTACCCTGTCCAGAAGGTCGCGAAGGCGGGCTTCCGTATCGGAGGCCGCCATGCTGGTCTCCAGAAGAGCTCGGGCCGAAACCGCAACGGACGGGGGGGGGGAAACGGTGCGCGCCAGATCAATCGCTTGGCCCATGATGGCCTGAGACACTCTGCACCTTCGGGCGGGCTCATGGGCGACGCACGGTTGCCCGCGGAGCTACCGCAAGCACGCGGCGACCCCACCGCAAGCATGCGGGTGAGCGGAATGCTGGGCTCAGCGGCCCCCTGAACATCCAAAGCTGCGGACGAGCTAGCGCAATCACGCGCCGAACCCACCGCCCGCGCGATGGTGAGTGCACGGGCGGTTCTCAGCGCGAGCGCGCGCGTAAGAGGAGGGGGGGGTCCCACGAAAGGGCTCCTGAGCGTCACAAGGTTGCTGGAAAACGAAAAGGCTGCTGGAACGCGCCTGTATTCAGCACGCGCATGCAGGTGAGCGCAACGATTGCTCCCGTGAGTGGGTTCCTGGGCGCCACAGGGTTGCCAGTAAAGCCAACGCGGGCACGCGCCGCCCCCCGCGAGTAAGCGAGTGAACGTCCACGGCGTCTCCCGTGAGTGGGCTTTTGGGCGCCACAGGGTTGCCGGACAGGCGGGCGCAAGCACGCGCCGAACCCACCGCAGGAATGCCGGGGAGTTGCCCGAGAACTGGCGCAGGCACGCGCCTACCTCAGCGCGGGCACGCGCGTGAGGGGAATGACTGCTCCCAAGAACGGGCTCCTGAGCGTCGCAAGGATGCCTAAGGATGCCGAAGAAAAAATGTTGGAGCGCTGGCGCGCGCCCGAACAAAGCGCACGCCTGCGTGCGAGCGCAACGGTAGCTCCCACGAGTTGGGCTCCTGGGCGTCACAGGGTTGCCGGAAACGCTAGCGCAAACACGCGCCAAACCCACCGCAAGCGTGCTAGTGAGCGAAAACGATGGCACCCCTGAGGGGCTCCTGGGCGTCACAGGGTTGCCGGAAAGCTAGCGAAGGCAAGCGCCTACCTCAGCGCTAGCACGCGCTTGAGAGGAATGGTTGCGCCCATAAGAGGGGCACCTGGGCGTCACAAGGTTGCTGTAAAAAAGGAAAGCGCTGGAACGCGCCGAACAAAGCACGCGCATGTGTGTGAGCGCAATTGCGGCTCCCACGAGAGGGCTCCTGGGCGTCACAAGGTTGCCACACCGAACAGCGCTGGAACGCGCTGCCGTCTGCTCCCACGAGAGGGCTCCTGGGCGTCACAAGGCTGCCACACCGAACAGCGCTGGAACACGCTGCCGTCGGCTCCCACGAGAGGGCTCCTGGGCGTCACAAGGTTGCCACACCGAACAGCGCTGGAACGCGCCGTCGGCTCCCACGAGAGGGCTCCTGGGCGTCACAGGGTTGCCACGCCGAACAGCGCTGGAACGCGCTGCCAACGGCTCCCACGAGAGGGCTCCTGGGCGTCACATGGTTGCCACATCGAACAGCGCTGCCGTCTGCTCCCAGGCGAGGGCTCCTGGGCGTCACAGGGTTGCCCAAAACAACAGCTCGCACGGCTGCTACTGGCGTCAGGTAGCGCTTGAGCGAAAAGGCGAGAGGAAGGATTGGGAAGGGGACGGGGGGGGGTGGCGGGCTCCTCTGCTCCTGGAAGACGGGGTCGAGAGCTCCTGGAAGACGGGGTCGAGAGCCCAAAGTGCCACCGTTCTGTGGACGGCGACGTATTGTGAGAGCGCGCCGGCGTCTGTCCTATTCCCGCGAGGTTCTGTTACTCTTCCACGGCCACCGATGTCCCAGCTGCATGAACGGAGCCGTGCGCCGAACGAGGCCGGACATGAAGCTCTCGGCGAGGCGGCGTGTAAGCATCAGCCTCCTCGCTTCCTCCTGCATGGGGGGGAGTGGGCGGGGAAGGAGAAGTGTTTTGGAGGGGGAAGGTCGGCGTCTGTTGTGCCGATCTGGCACCCGTGCGGGTACCTGAAGAACAGGAGCGCAAGCAGGCGCCACCGCTATACAGATGCTCCCGAAGGCGGGCTCCTGAGCGCCACAGGGTTGCCATGCAGGCAAGCACGTGCCTGCTGAGTATGTACCCGATGTGCGGGCTCCTGGGCGTCACAGGGTTGCCGGCTGATCTCGGCGGTGTGGGTGCGATCATTTCCCATATGGCGGGGCTGCAAAGCACGCAGCGCCACACCACGCCTGCACCAGGACGCGTAGAAGGAATCCAGGGAGTCCGTGGCCGGGATGATGGCTGCCAGGAAAAGCGCCCTTTACGAATGCACAGCCCCCTCCAAAGGGCCCCCTCCTCCTCCTCATCATCATCCTCCTCATCCTCCTCCTCCTTCTCTCTCCTCCTCCGCCTCCTCCTATTTCTCATCATCCTCCTCCTTCACCTTTCCTCCTCCTCCTCCTCCTCCTCCACGTCCTCCTCCTCCTCCTCCTCCTCCTCCGCCTCCTCCTCCTCCTCCTCCTCCCCCCGCTCCTCCCCCTCCGCCTCTGCCTCCTCCTCCTCCTCATCATCCTCCTCATCCTCCTCCTCCTTCTCTCTCCTCCTCCGCCTCCTCCTATTTCTCCTCCTCCTCCTCCTTCACCTCCTCCTCCTCCTCATCGTCCTCCTCCACGTCCTCCTCCTCCTCCTCCTCCTCCTCCTCCTCCTCCTCCGCCTCCTTCCTCCAAAAGGCTCAAGCTTCGACCACCAGCCTTGAGGTTGAAAAGCTTCCCGAGGTGGAGGCTCGAACCTCCTGCCAGAAGGCTCATCCGCTGGGAGCTTTCTCTCTCAGACAATCCTGGGGCCAAGCCACTCCTCCGTCCTTCGGAATCGATGGCTCGTGTATTCCCCTGGTCTCCTGGAGGTCGCGACCAGGCTTGACAGCAAAGCACGTTCGTCGACCTGCAACCACCCTCGTTGCCCCCGTCCTCCTCTCTCCCCTCTCCTCCACCACTCCCCTGCCCCCGATCACTCTCCCGCCCTCTTCCCTCCCACCCTACCCTTCCACCCCCATCTCATGCCCCAGTTGTTCGGCGGCGAGACCGCCCCATGGCTCCAATGAACGAGTACCCTTGATCTCCAGTTTGGCCCCTCGAGTCATAATCTCTGCAACTTCCAGCGGGGGCCTCGAGATTCAAGTCGTCGCGGACGATGTAGTTGCAATGTTCCACTTCCCTGGAGATAGATAGCTCTTGCTCCTGCCAATGTCACGAGCTACTGCTGAAATTGATGGCGGACGCAAGTACGCGAGAAACAGGAAAAAACACCTAACTAAGTCTGTCATCTGCAAGATATAATGGACACACGATTGGTGGACGCCCGTGAGTTGGCGTGCACGGCCCCTGAGGGGCCCACGAATGCTCGGACGCCCGCAAGCGCAATACCCGAGCCGACCACATCTGATCATCAGCATCATCATCATCATCATCATCATCATCAGCATCATCATCAGCATCATCATCATCAGCAGCATCATCACCATCATGTTCATCATCATCATCATCATCATCATCGTCAGCATCATCAGCATCATCATCAGTATCATCATCAGGATCAGCATCAGCATCATCAGCAGCATCATCATCATTATCACCATCAACATCAGCAGCATCATCAGCATCAGCATCAACCCGCTCATGCTTCACAACCCAAAAGATCCCAAGAAGGAGTCGGGAATATGTCGGTCGGTGGACGACCTAGTTTGCTGGGCAATCGCGGACTAACCCCCCTTCCTTCAGAGCAGGATCACCGAATAAGGTCGACACACATCCGCCCCAAATGCCGCATCCGACGCATCCACAATGCCGTTTTGTTGAATCAAAGAAACAACGGAAACCGACCTTGGCGCCGCAATAGCACGGATCTCCGTCGGCTTCGTGCTGTGAACCACTGTCCGTGCTGATCTAGCCGTCATCGCCGCAGATAACGGAGTGGGGCTGGTCTTCGATGATGTGGCATGGCGAACATGGGCAGCAGGAGGAGAACCACGTCGCGTCGCTGCCTGACATGGAGCGTCGCAAAAAATACGCAGAAACACCACACACGGCCACGCCCTGGATCACGGAAAATGCTGCAAGAAGGCCATCGAAGGCCACCGCAGCCCACGCTTGGACCACGGCAGGCCACAGAAGGCCTGGACCACAGGAGGCCCCAGAAGGCCTTGACCACTTGAGGCCGTGGCTGCGCACCCTGATCGACCAAGGCGCTTCCGCATGAGAAAAGCGAGGCTCTGAAGGCCCCCGGCATGTTCAGCTACCAGAAACTGCCGCGCCACACCCCCACGGACACCTAGAGCACCTCGAAACGCACGATGATGAAGGCAATGCTTCCCACCTAGCTTGAGAATCCCAAACCTCAAACGGAGTGGGCGGCGCCCCAGTTAAAGCCCACACCCGAAATAGGCCCTCGACCCCACCCATATGCTCGAAATTCGCACAGATCGGGCTTTCCGAGGTTAGCGGAAGCCGCAAAGAGAAAAAACGCAGTCTCACAATAGATTTGCCCGAGAAGCTCCCAAGACAGTTCAATATAACCTGAAAACGCTCCAAGGCGGCCTGAAGTCGGTCTAACATGTCTTCAGGACGGCACAAAAGTGCTGCAATATGCCCACCGAGCTGAGAGAGAGAGAGAGAGAGAACAAAAAAAGATAAAGAAATGTATGATAGAGAGGAAGACATCTATATATATATATATACATATATATATATACATATATATATATATATATATATATATATATGTATTTCTATATACATTCTGTATGCATGGATACGCACAGATGTGTGTGTATGAAAGAGAGAGAGAGAGAGAGAGAGAGGCAGTCAGCGTGGACCCCATACAATGTGCTCTAGTAAGCTATAATGTGCTGACTATGCGGGGTATGATAAATGGAGCGAAATACGTTAACCAACCAACATGGTGCTAGACCTGTGGTGCAACATGCGTGTGGTGCAAACTACGAGGTGCAATGTACGTGTGACAAGCTACGAAGAGCAACCAAAGTGACGCAATGTATGTGGTGTATTATGTGCGTTGTAAGCTGCGCAGTGCAACGTCATCCAATCTACGTGATGCAACCCATGTGGTACAATCTACGTGGGGCAATATATGGTCCAGGGCTTGGCCCCCCCCCCCCAATGCTGATGCCATTGGGCCCCCCCCCCCGCGCGATGGTCCCCCCCGCCCCCCCTATGGGCGTGGCGTGGTGCTGCGCCGCTGCGGTGCCCCCCCCTCCTGTGGATGTGGTGTGGTGCTGTGGTGGTTCAGAGGTGGGCGTGGCGTGGTGCTGCGCTGCGGTGCCCCCCTCCCCCCCCTGTGGATGTGGTGTGGTGCTGTGGTGGTTCAGAGGTCGTGATCGTCGTCTTCGTCGTCGTCGTCCTCGTCGTCCTCGTCGTCCTCGTCGTCCTCGTCGTCGTCGTCGTCGCCGTCGTCATCGTCGTCGTCGTCGTCATCGTCGTCGTCGCCGTCGTCATCGTCGTCATCGTCGTCGTCGCCGCCGCCGCCGACGTCGTCGCCGCTGCAGCCGTCGTCGTCGTCGTCGTCGTGGTCGTCGTCGTCGTCGTCGCCGTCGTCGTAGCGTAGTCGTCGCCGTCGTCGTCGTCGTCGTCGTCGTCGTCGTCGTCGTCGTCGTCGTCGTCGTCTCTGGGACCATGCCATCTGGGGGGGGGGCCCGAGGAATCCTGGAACCATACCATCTGGGGGGGGGCCCGTGGGCCCGGAGCCCGGGACCATATATGTGGTGTAACTGACTACCCTGCACCGCGCCTGACCACCTCCACTGCTCGCGCAAACATCCCACCCACCCACCCACCCGCAACTTGGTCGCAAGACTTCTTAAGACAAGACCGTGACGGTAGGTAACACATGGCACTTGGCCACGACACCGACGCCGACGACGACAGCGACAACGACGACGACGGCGCCGCCGACACCGACTACGACGACACCGCCGACGTCGACGTCGACGAAGACGACGACGACGCCGACGCCGACGACGACGACGAAGACGACGACGACGTCGCCAACGAAGACGACGACGAGGGAGGAGGGAGGACGACGACGGCGACAACGACGACAACGACGATGGATGAGGGAAGACGGCGACGACGCGAACGACGAAGAAGGAGGAAGGACGGCGACGCCGACGACGACAACGACGAGGGAGGAGGGAAGACGAAGACGACGACAACGACGACGAAGACGACGACGACGGCGACGAAATAGGAGGGACGACGACAAGACGCCGACGACGGACGACGACGACGACGAGGGAGGAGGATAACGACGAGGGAGGAGTGAAGACGACGACGACGACGACGACGGCGACGAAATAGGAGGGACAACGACGAAACGCCGACGAAGACGACGAGGGAGGAAAGACGACCACGGCGACAACGACGACGGAAGCGACGACGACGCCAAGACGACGACGATGACGAGGAAAGACAGAAGACGACCACGGCGACGATGACGACGAGGGAAGAGGGAGGACGACGACGACGACGCAAGAGCGCGCGCGCACGCTTTTGTTGAAAATCCGTGTTGCGAAACCTTGGGTTTTTGTAGGTTTGTTGGACGCGCGATTTTGAAATCCTTCCGAAACCGATGGGTGTTGAAGGATTTCGGCGTACGCGCGCGACGACGCGCGCGTCTGCACTTCGTCCAACTTTTTGCAGAAGATTCTCGCGACGGCACACGCGCAAGGGCGTTCGGCAGATTTCGGCATGCGCTCGCGCGACGCCCGTTTGGTAGCACTTTGTGAAAATATTGAAAAAAAACAATGATTTTCTTATGATTTCGCAAGAGCTCGCGCGGAAGTTCTTCTAGCAAATCAGTGTTGCGAAACCCTGTGTTTTGTATGTTTTTTGGGAACTCGACTGCGACATCCTTCCGGCACCGAAGGTTTTTGCAGGATGTCGGCATGCGCGCGCGACGACGCGCGCGTCTGCACTTCGTCCACTTGTTCGCAAGGGATTCGCGAAAAAATGCGATGTTAGAACAAAAATGTCACCGCATATTTTTTTACAAGGGAAACTCAGGGGGGGGAAGCCGGCCTGCCTGGGATGGTACGGTTTCAAATTTAGGACGGACGAGTGTGCAGAATATATATATATATATACATACATACACACAAATATATATATATATATGAAATTATACTATCCCAAGGGAAAGCGTTAAGTCCTGGGGGGTAGAGTTTTTTTCTTTTTTTGAAAGAAGAATCGGCGTGGTGCAATTCGCCCTGTCGAACTTGAACGTGTCAACGCCACTGTTCGCGCAATCGCTCCAGGTACCCACTCGCAACATGGCTTGCAGAACCCATTCGGCCGCGATTGCGATGATTGCGTGGCACTGACTGGCGCTTCGTTGCTGTCACTCTAGCGCGCGCAGGCTCGCGCGCAGAGCGGCCAGTTACCCTGGCGCAACCGACGGGGCTACGGTGGCGCTGACCGCTGGGGGCTCCCCAATGCGTCTCGCAGGCCGCGTTGACGCGTGGGCGCTTCACTGCGACTCGGTGACTCGGGCGGACGCGCGCGGTATCATGGCGACGTTGACAACGGCATACACGATGAACATCGTAGCGATGCTGCCGACGATGATGGCGATGACGACGGCAAGGCCAATGACGGCACCGATGCTGTTTACGCAGGTGCGATGATGGTGTCCACGTGTCGGTGATGACGGTTTGGAAGAATTTCGACATGCGCGCGCGGCCGACGGGCGCGACGGGCCCGCATGGTGCTGTTTGTCAGGGGCCCCCCCCCCCCCCCCCCCCCCAAGCAAGCGCGCAAAGCCGTTCGAATGATTTCGACATGCGCGCGCGAGAGACCCGCGTGGTCGCATTCGACGGAAATTTATCAGGAAATCCAATGCCACTCGCAAGAATTCGCAAGACCGCGCACGCATATATTTGCCTGACAGCCACGATGCAAAACAATGTTTTTGTTAGTGTTCGGGGGCTTCGATCTTGAAATCCGCACGAAGCCAACGAGTGTACATGATGTCGGCATGCGCGCGCGACGACTCGCGCGTGAGGACGTTGTCCCGTCTGTTGCGTGGGATTCGTGCCCCCAACAAGCGCGCGCGGGAGTCCGACTGATTCCGGCATGCGCGCGCGACATGCCCACTTGGTCGCAGTTACTGAGAATGCTGAGTTCACAACCGAATGAGTTCGCAAGAATTCGCAAGCGCGCGCAAACGCTTTTCAAAAACCATGGTGCTAACAAAAATGCTCGTTGAATATTATCAGGGCCCTCGATCTTGACATCCCAACGAAGCCTAAGGCCTGCGACGAAATCTGGCACGCACGTCTTGGGCCCCATGGCTCAAGAGGGGGGGGTCCTCGATTCAGCCCTCCCACCTTCGGAAGCTCAAAGGAACGTTTTGGGGCCCGCTTGGAGCACTCGTGGCCACAAGAGCTACGAGTCGACGAGGGATCGTTCCACAACGCCGAAGATTGCCTTCAAACGGCCCCAGCAGTCCCCAACTCTTGAAAAAGAAAAAGAAAAAAACATAATACGAAGCGCCCCACGAAGGCCCTCCAGAAGAAAAAATCGCCCCATTCCCTAGGGGAAACATACATTTTCAGCACATTCGCCTCTTGTTCCACGCGGCCCACAACGGCACCAAAAACCTTCAAAATCGACCCTCCGCAGCCCAAGAAAACCGCAAGAAGCTCCACGACGGCGCCCAGGCGATCCACGAAGGTTCTGGAAACCATAGCAACGGCCCGGGAGAGCCGCATAACGGTTCCAAGAGGGCTCCAAAACGGGTCTACAGGGTCCCCAAAGGCCCCTCAGACGGCCCACGTGGGGGACGATTCGGTCCAAACCGCCCAAGATTGCCTCCTGACGGCCCCAGACCCCAAGGCTTTTGAAAACGCGTCCACGAGGCGTTCCAAGAGGGCCTCCACAAGCAAAAAAACACCCCATTCCCCAAGGTAAACATACATGTTCAATACATTCCCCTCGTGGATTTCCACGCGGCATACAAGAACCCACT